AGGTATTGTTAGTCTATTACTAATTAGCAACCCCATTTTTAGCTAGGATTAATAATAATAGTAATTATTTTTATTTATTATAATACACCTGGCTCACGAGGTGACCGAAATGTGGGGGGTGACGTCCACCGAAATCATTCTAATCGTTTTGTCGGTGAACGGTCTTATCCCAACCAGTCTGGAACAATATCTCAGACGGTTGTGATTCCGAGGCGGTTCACTCCCGGGAAAGATGCAGAAATCGGTGCTCTTAGATACTGCCCGCATTGTACGCCGGGTTCTCTCCCTGGAGCTCTGAACCCGACTGTGTTTCTGCCGGGGGTTAGTTTGCCATCTCCTCTCCTTAAGAGGGGAGATGTGATTTTTTGTAAAAATTAAAAAATAATAATATAGATAGATAGATAATTTATTTGCATTACTTACAGCACACAAATTACAACATACATATACAAAAAAAGCGAGATAAATGATTTAAAAAATACATAAAGCTAAATACAATTTTTCGTTTGTGCGTGTGCCATAGCAATACAAAATGGTCACAACTAAGTTTCTTGCTTCGCCCTCAAAAGAGCAAAGCACTGATATTCTGTTGCGGCCAAAGGGAATAGGGTAATAATAAAACAATACTACCAGATTATCCGTACAGTAAACAGACAGATATGACAGTCTATCTAGCAGACAAATGGAACATAGAGGTAACTTACTGGATTTAACTTTTGCCTCTCAATTAAGTATTTATATTAATTATATTAATATAGAGGTCGCCACCTCTAAGCGGTTTCCCCTGGAAACCGTAGTGATTGTTTTATTCTTGATTTGACGATAGGTCAATTCACCTGCTTTACCTGACCTATCGTCCCTCAGTGTTGCTTTGCCAGTGTATATCAATAGAACAGGTGGGGTTATCATTTCTTTATAATCCATTAAAATAAAACAGTTCCTATTTCCATGTGATAGAAGTTAGGAAGGTATATTCGCCCCGCTGTTGTTGGATTCAAAAACTGCTCTGTGAAATGTCGACTTTCCGAATGATGCGCTCTTCTAGTAATCGACTAACATTAATACCTGTGGCTGGGGGAAAGGGATTGTTAGTAATGGGGTCTAACTGACCCATAAGGTGTATTACCCTATCAGGTCGACCTCCACCTGGTCTGAAATTTTGTTTATGTATATTGTTTACCTACTTAAAAGATGCATATAGGATCGTTTTTAAAAAAACATTTATATGCTGTGCAGTCTATCTTTGCCAATACAATATTTTTTTATAATTGATCGAATTTATATTTGATCTGGCCCTAAATGTATTATTGTTATTTTAATTCGTTGTATTTTTGTGTAGCAAAATCTTATTTTTGTACTATAGCAATAACGTAAAAATGAGATTGCGCTCCATTTATTAACTTAATTTTCTTTTTTAATTTTTAAAAGCATTCAAATTTGAATTCGCTTTCCAAACATAATGGAAACCGGTACTTACATTGTTCGCCGCCTTCGCACGCCCAGTATCGCTTCAAATCTGTCTTCTCCAGTTAATATTTAGTAAGCACAGCGTACGTGCCGTGGAATCCGTGAAACATAACGGAGCGAGTCCAAAATCAATCGGCAAGGGACGCACTCAAACAAAACAAGAAAAACAAATTATCGGGGAAGTGTGTCTGCTTGTTGTGACTGCGGTTGTTTGGATACGGAAGGTCAAGGACGCTTTTGGGAGGGGGCTGTGGGCGGCGGGGGATCGGCGGGGATGAGGCGAGAAGTGGGCGGGGCTCCGGCTCGGTCGCTAGAAATAGACTCAGCAACATCGTTTGTCAACACACGCCTACGCAGCGTGGTGCCGACCCTCGTGCCGCGCTCGGGGCTCGGGGTGGCCCGAGCAGGTGGCGGGCCCGCTCCCCCTGCCCGCCCCACCACTTTCCAGAAACGCTGGGCCAAATTTGCCAACATTATGCTCGCTTACAATAGCGATTGTTTTTACCAGTAATATAAATGATGAATTATTATTGTGCGCTGTCTCCTCAACGATGAGCTCACAAAAGGGCTCGTTAATCTTCGTGTCGTTTTAATCTTTATATAATAAAGTCGTAACGAAGCCAGAACCAGACTGTAGGTAGCTATAGGAACAGAGTATTTTTAAAAAGTACTTCGATTATGAACGAGTATACTCTGTTATGTCCATGGTACTGCTCATGTCTATAGGCGACGGTTATCACTTTCCATCAAGTGGGCCGTCAGCTTGTTTGCCATTCTAAGTTGTATAAAAAAAAATTTAATGAAGTGGTAGGCGGAGTACCAGTGACAGATGATATACAAGTGAAGATGAAGTTAGTTTTTTTTTTTAATGAACCGCTTGCGCTAAAAATATACGATTACAAAGTGGGGAGTGATAGGCGAGAATAAAAAGGTCAAGATATGGCCAAAATGGGAGGGGATGCGGAAATTACTGCGAATAGAGAATAATGGAAGTGAAAAACATATTACGCCGACCCCAAATAATAATTGGGATAATGCTATGAAGATAATAAGGTTAGCCCGTCGTGATGAATATTATATCTGTACATCTGTGAATGTATGATATTATATTGACATTGTATCTTTGCACATCCTAAAGGTTGACTAGTATAGAATGCATATAGCGTTAAGTCCACCTTTTGTACTACATTTTATTGGTCAAAATTTTTTTAATAAATATCTAAACGAATCTACGGTCAAGCCAGTTTATTTAGTCCATCATGACGAATTCACCAGAAACAATATCTATATGGAATGAAATTCTTAACATTTCGTCGATGAATTTATAGAGATAGGAATAGGTCCAGTGAGTTCAGGGGTCTAAAATATATAGCCGTTTTTGTTATCCAAGAACCTCGACTTCATCGGGCTGGAATAAGGTATTGATTAGAGTCACTGTAAGCTAGCCACTTTCCATCGTTTGCGACTCCTATTGCCTGATCATCTCTATGCAAATGTTTATAAATTTGTAAACAGAACAGCTCCCAACATCACGTTATATGATAAATAGAAAATTTGTTAATGTCAAAAGCACGTTTATAAATGCCCTGTAAATAAAAATACGCGCTGACATGCTCTTATTCAAAGATAGATCAAAGATGTTTATTTAGAGTGAACCCGCCCATTGTGTTCCGAAGTCCATCGCGCAAACACATCCGCGTCCCTCTGAACTCTGCCCAACTCAACCTGTCACAGCCGTGACCTTTGTCGGTAGAATTGTTTTATCGGGCTGTGCGTAACTGACCAGTTCCGAGGGCAAGGGTAACCCTTCCCAGTTAAAGGTCGGTGAAGTTGTTAACTGCTTCACGGATCGGTTACTCGAAGTTTTAACTTTGCTGCTTTTTGAATTGATTTCAGTAATTAGATTATTTATTTATAGGATTACCAACATAAGATACAGCGATACATTTCAATACAATATACACTGGCAGATTAGATCTAACTGTTCCTACCTTTATAGGCAACCACAGCATGCTTTGTGTTTGATAAACATTAAAACATTAAAAATTTATTAGTTATTACTAGATAGTAGGTACATGTTGACTACTGTTATTCTACAACCGTGTTATTCGACAAATAGTTTCAAAATTCAACTACCCCATCAGGGATTACAGTCAACAGCATAGGTATTTATTTTATTTACATATATAATTCACAATTACCTACCGTAAAGACATATTAACTGTTAGACTTACATGTATGTTTTATGGTTTATAAACCGTGGAGATTAATGCGATCATTTAGGTAAAATATAATAGCTTTTTTTTTTCTGAAACGTGGTCGAAACGTCGAGATAATTCAGGTAAATTATATAAATATACATTATTCTAATAAATATTTTTTCTTCTTTTTTCTTTCTTAATTCTAGTATCTCTGCTCATCCTAAAGGTTGACTAGTAGAGATTGCTTACAGTATTAAGTCCGTCTTTGGTATCGCCTCCACATTTTATTGAACAATAAAGTTTAAATAAATAAATAATCGCGTTAATTTTTTTTTTTTTTTTATACAACTTAGAATGGCATACAAGCTGACGGCCCACTTGATGGAAAGTGGTAACCGTCGTCTATAGACATGTGCAGTACCATGGACATTACAGAGCATACTGTTTCGCCCATGATACCCCCCATGCGTTGCCATTCCTTAGGAATCAGGCGTTATTCCTCTGTACCCTGTAAATTTACGCCATATCCCACCCTTCAAACCGAAACAGCCATGCAAACACAACTGCTTCACGGTTAATTCCCGTTTCTTATAAACTACAATGAAGACACTTTAGTTTCCGTGCACGTCCGCGATATTTCTAAAATATTTTAATGCAATTGACCCGATAGTCGTGATGCGTGTCTGTTCAAATTTCAATAAATTTGTTTGTGATCGTTTTGTGAATATGTGGAAAGCTATTGAAGTGTAAACAAAGCAATAAAAATACGAAAAAAAAAAGAAACTAAAAGACGTATTGGGACTACTAATAAAATCTCTGCAACATTTTGTATATACCTATTCAGGAATGTATGCAAATTCATTTTCCATTTTTACGTTATGAGGTCATGTTTTAGATACATTAAAGGTTTATAAAACAATGAACAAGATAAAAAAGGATGAACGAAGTATGTCGTTCCCATTGGCGATTAAGAGTGTATAAAAAATCATCAGTGTTCCAACTTTCCAGACAACTTTTTTCAATTTTTCTTCTCCCTAAAAAGTGTTTAGTTAGTTCATTGTACAGATATTTGGGTGAATGGGTATCGTTTGTAAGTATCAAATGGTGTTGTAGGAAGCTATAATATTTGTGTTTCTTATATCATCATCTTCCTGCCCTTATCCCAATTATTATTTGGGGTCGGCGTAATATAGTTTTGTCCATATTACTAAAGGATTTGGCTTACAGTTTTACGACCGGCCGCCTGCCTGACGTCAACCCTCTTTGGGAATGCATTTGTTGGTGGTTTGTATATCTTATATATCATTTATTAATTATGACTGTATGCTTTTAAATTAAAAACGAATAAGTGAACACTTTAATCGGACGCTTAAAAAGTTTTTGCAAAGCGTACATACAAAAGATGCGTTTACTAAGGAGTAATATAGTATAAACGTCCTATGGTCCTTCGTGGTCTTCGGGTTTCCGGCCTTCGGCAGATGATCCTTTAAAAAAACAAACTTTAAATTGCGATGTTTGTTTGTTGGTTTAGGTCAAATCTTGTAAGCTGAATTAGATCCTATTTCTGCTAACTAGTTAAGCTGAATTAGAACCTATTAGGTATTTGTTTTTACTAGCAATTTACCCTGTCAGGTCAACCGCCACGTGGTCCCCTCTGGAAACCGTCATGGTTAATTTGTAGTAAATTTGGCCGACGCGCTAACTGACCTGCCTTCATTCTCATTGTCTCAACTTCCGCTAGTGCCCCGCCATTGTGTACCTACCGTTAGCATAGACAAAAATTTGTTTATTGTTTCTTTTTTTCTTTTATTAACTTATTTTGTTGTAAAATGTACTAACATTAGGTTTTTTTTTTTTATGGATGATAATGGATTGGTAACCCTGCCTGCGCTATCGGTATATACTAGCGGGACACCAGTGAGAGATGATTGGTGAGGATGAAAAGGAAGGTCAGTTAGCCCATCGTGACGAATTTAACGATAAATTAGTCACGATGGTTTCCAGGGGGACGCGCGTGGAAGTCGACCTGATAAGGTATATTGATAGCGATGGGGACTAACTTCCCCATTACTAACGATCCCTTCCCCCACTAACATTAGGCTATGATTATGTTACTAACAAATTGGGTCATTACAGCCTGTAACAATAAAGTTTTTTTATTATTAAATATTACGTCATAGACGGGTGCACTATTCCATCTTCGTCCAATAAAAAATGCGGTTTTGTTGTAATTTTGCATACATCTTTAATTCTGTTGACAATACATTACTCAATATTATGATATTTTCAAAATGACCGTCGCCACAAGATGGCGGATTTTGTACATTATAAAAACTTGTTTTTAAAAATATTTTTAAACAGTCTTGTTATATGTAAATTACACCTAAGCCTATGTGTTGTACGACATCAAGTATATATTAATTACTATATGGTATCGAAGGTAAAACGTAGGTACCTAAAGTAGGCACATACTTACCTACTCGCATTTAATATAGATATACCAGATGTATGTATATCTGGCGGAGTGCTGCTTGTTTGTCACTTTTCTGTAGGTGGCCTTGAGCTTCAAGTTCTTATTTTGATACGTTTGTTGCCTGCTCGTAATGTGTTTGCTTACATTTCCATGTACATTGGCTTCTTTTGTATTGTGTTACTGTAAACAATTTTTCGCCTTCTATAAATGTAGTTCACATTTATTTGTATGGAAATAGCAATGATTGATTGAATGGAAGTCATTTTCTTGTAGATATATAGTTTTTTTTTTTTTTTTATAACTTGTAATAACTATTTATGCATCGGGGGGAAAGGGATTTTTAGTAATGGGTTTTAATAACTCTGTTGCTATCAATATCGACTATAACATCAGGTCGACCTCCACGCGGTTCCCCCTGGAAACCATCATGGTTAATTCTTGTTGATCATGATGGGCCAACTGACCTGCTTTCATCATCACCAATCATCTATCACTGGTGCCCCGCTAACGTATACCGATAGCGCAGTCGGGGTTACCATTCCATAATAACCCATAAAAAAAAAACTATTTATGCATCGTTTTATTATTATTTAAGATTTTTTTTTAATAGTTTCTTCAAATCAAATCAAATCAAATCATTTATTGCACGAATATGGGTACATACATTAGTTGAAAAAAATAATTACATGTCCATTATTCCATATTCTACCATATCGGCATGTACAATAAAGGCAATGTAAATAATGTAAAAATAAATATACTTCTCAAAAGAGAAGGTTAACCATGGTTTTTTTATGTTACATGATATTTAGTTAAATCAATTTTTTTTTATCGATTTTGATTATTCTTGCAATTGCTATTAATACTGGGTATAAAACACCTCGTCATTCTCTTCTACGTCGTAAAACCTTACCTCCGTAATACCTATCGGCTCATTTTAACTTCAATAGGCATGAGCCCTTTCAGGAATATAGGCCCAAGGGCATGATTTTCCATGTGAGAAAACATGTGATGTTAATTTTCAGGGACGAGATTGAAAAGTTGATACAATGTAAACGTCTGGAAGATGATATTCTGGCTCGATGCTGTATCGATAAATTCGATATTGTTTCAGATATATCAGGCTGAAGCTGTACCATTTCTAATCTATTTCAAGTCGTGACTGTTATTATAATTATCAGTTACTACGTTTTGAATACTTGCATTTTGTAAATTCTTTCTTTTTACAACGTGAGCTGGGTATCCTAAGAAATATTTTTTTTTAAATTGTCTTAGAAATTGGTCACTTCAGCTAACTGATTCTCACGGGCAAAGTTATGTTAATTAGTTTTTTTTTTTTTTTAATGAAACTTTATTTTCTGTCGTTAATTTTTATACGACAACATTTTTGCTATTTTAGTTTTGCTATTGAAGGTCTACCTGGGGTTTTTTTTTTTCGTTTTTTTTTCCTTTATTAATATTTATAATATATAACTTAATAATCCGTTCAGATCTGTTCCAGTAAAATATGTTAATTAGTTAGTTACGTATGGTTTTCATTGTAAACTACTTTAATGTTGATATCAACAAACATATATGTAATATTTGTCAGATCCGTCAGTATTCTACGACTGCGACGATATGCTTGTTGACGAAGAAATTCAGTTTCATATGGGGATAATTAACTGATATCGATCTACTTAATAAAATTTTGTACCTACCTCTAACTTAGTAACGAAAGTTTTATCTTTTATCACGAACACGGAAAATAAAGTTGTGTAAGTTACCAACTTGGCCTATTAATATCAGCCCGAGGATCTACTGGAATGTTCCGTCCGAGTTGTCGATGAGCTCGGAGATTCTTTAGATAACTTTCTTCAATATGTAGAGGTAAAAACTTTGCCGTGGAACACGCTTCCAATCGGCGTATCCATAAGCAGTAAATCATAATGAAAACTTTTGTTTTTCTATAATACTTGTTTGTGCTCAATGTAATTTGTGTGAAAGTTAATTTAATACCCTGTTTATCTTTAGGCTTTCGAATATTATTTTTTGTTGAAAATAAATCACATTTATGACCACAGACAGGAGGTAGACGCAAGTAGGTATCTTCATTAGTTAAGCATTAACACATTAATGCTAATCAACATTGTGCTACAACAGTTTGATATATGTTGATAGCAAACTCTCAAACTAAACCTTTCTCAAACATATCGTATATCTCTAATACAGTTATTGTCATTTCTATAAATTTAGCCGGAGTCAATTTAGTGAGTTCCTATTTCCGATTATGGAACAGTTTGCGGCGTCTGTAATCCATTTTTCTGTTTAGTACACTAACTGGGTGAGAATTCAGTTGGCTAAAAAAATACCTGAGTAAAAATTATAATCGTTACCTATAGCATTTTTTTTTATGGGTGAAAATGGTATGGTAACCCCGCCTGCGCTAACGGGATACGCTGGCGGAGTACCAGTGAAGGGTGATAGATGAGAATGAAAACAGGCCAGCTAGCCCATCATAATGAATTCATCAGGATTTAACCATGATAGTTTCCAGGGGGAACCGCGAGGAGGTCGACCTGGTTGGGTATATTGCTAGCAATGGGATTCTCAGTCTCCATTACTAACAATCCCTTTCCCCCTATCTATAGCATTTGTTTGATCCTTAGATCTCTTGCTTCCTGCAGTTTTAATAACTCGTCTTATGTGGGGAGAAATGGGATTATTAGTAATGGTAATAAGCAAGCAATCCCTTTACCAGCAATATACCGTATCAGATCGACCTCCTCGCGGTTCTCTCTGGAAACCATCGTGATTGATTAATTGTTGAATTCGTCACGAAGGGCTAACTGATCTGCTTCATAACTGATCTCACCCATCATCTCTCACTGGTACACCCTGCCAGTGTAAAGCGACAGCGCAGGCGAGGTTACTATTTCATTATCATCCGTTAAAAATATAAACAAATACTCGCACGCCGGTTTCGGAGACTCTTGTCCTCTCTTGGATACAGCAATATAAAAATTTAAAATGCAACTTCGGAATCCAATTTAAATTGTCAGGCAAGACCTACTTGCTGCCTAGCTTGACACGTCCTTGACTAAAGTTATAATTTCCAATCGAAAATAGATAAAGTTTGATTTTAACCCGATCAATTGACCTCTTAATCAGCTGACCTCCTCATTTGTGAACTAGTTTATGATGGAGTGGATGCACTGCACCGGGGAGGGGAGGGCGAGGGTCGGGAGGCCACTGCGACACTCGGAGTGTGAGGTGAAAATGCCGTATTTGCGGTCAGCAATACATCCGGGATAACTGATTATACTGTAAGTACTCTGCATGAGATTATCTGTTATCCCATAAACAAACCATAAACAATCCACCAGGGGATGAGTTTCCAATAATCCTTACTTACTTAATTCATATGTAAATTGATTCTAAAATTGTCGGTTTTAACAAAGTTTCTGTTAGTCGGAGCGTTTTATTAAGTAGAGTTACGTCTATTTCTTGTAAAAATAGTAAATACCAAGAATACTGTATAATGGTGTGTATGGTGTGCTCCTATTCCGCTCCTGCATTATTTTCCGTTTATTGGTATGGTTGGTTACCAATAAACGGAAAATAATGCAAGAGTATAAAAGTGTACAAATTGAGTATTGTACCAATTCATACGTCACATTAATTTAACACTTTCATGTTAAATTTTGTCATATTGATAATTGGCTTACCAAGTAGCTTGTTGTTTATAAGTAAAATTTTTTACACATAATAATAAATAATAAAATAAATACTTAAAACTACGGATAAAGAGAAATAATAAAACGTAAATTATTTTAAATATTAATCGTTGTTTATAAAAATAACTCGATTCAAATACTCGTACGGGAACAAATAAGGATTAAATTCTATCAAACGCAAATATAATTATTGAAATTGGTGAACATTTTGAATCTGTTCATCTTTTTTTAAATTCTTTTAAAAATACTAAATGTAAAGGCAGATGCTAAAATGAACTTTATTATCTGGATTTGAGGTGTCTTGAGATCGATTTGTAATGGCACGATTTCTACGTTATTTATGATATTTAAATTTATTGCACTGCTGAAGGCTTCCTCTGTTTTTTTATTTTTTTTCCAGTTCAAACAGTTGTAGCAGGGAAAAAATCTCATCAACAATACTCATTCACTAATGATGCGAAGTTTCCAACTAAAAAGGTATTTCTAAGGCAACGAGAGAACAGGTTTACCGCAAATTAAGTTGCGGGAAATACGTACCTATATTATTAATAATATTAAATATTTATATTCAATGACTGACAATAGGCTGTTGAAATTATGTTGATATATGTACTCCCAATTATATTTGTGATATTTAACAGTCAAAGTCCTTTGTTTTAGAATTAATAACATCAGGAAATTTTAAAATTAATTAATTGATTGGGACGTCTATAAGTTTTTGTATAGGGCGCTGTAACTGTAACATCTTTCGGGATTTTACTCGTAATTACCACTGTTATAAAATCACACAAACTCGCACACTGGTACCAAACAGCGATCGAGTTTATAACGGCGCCCGCAACTACACCTACAACAACGTTAACATGTAACTTGCGAAACTGCATTAAAGTGCCACAAATAGACACGTTGCAAATACAAACGACTCCCACAGTCGCAGTGCACCGAACGTTTTCTATTTACGTTAAGCAGATAGCACAATATGCGATATAACGCTGCGAACCGGTTACGTATATTCGCCTTAACGCTAAAAATAGCATCAACCCTCTTTACACTTACATAATTATTACTGGTTGGAGGCTGTGCTTCCTGCCCCCTGCCGCCGGTGCGCGCCCACCCCGGCCACCCCACGCTGGCAGGCGGCGCGGCACGGGCAACGCTGGCCAGTCGGAGGCAGGATCTCGCGTCGACTCGGCGCTCCTTGACCGCGCTTCTACCTCTATATGGAATCTTTAATGACGATCGCTTTTCTCCGAGCGAATAATTGATTTAATTGAATTTCTCGTATAGATTATTCATAAAATGTCACTGAGCCTTCGTTAATTGTATACGGCATACCGGCGTCGTCAGTAAATTCCAATATGCTATCGTAATTAGATGAGGCTTGTAGTAATTGTTTTTGGGCAATCGTAACCATAAAGGATTGTCAGTAAATTATATATATATATATATATATATATATACGCTTGTGAAATAATGTGACGGTGTTATAAACATTGAGTGGTTTGAGTAAACAAGAACCTTTAATGCTGTAATAATGTCTGTAAACCCAACAGCCGTCGCTACTAAAGGTAACTTGTTTGTCGTGTTATTTTCATGTTTTTTTGTCTTCTCTTATCTGTCTTAATCAAACTCTTTTACAGCACAACATCATTATATATATATGTGTGTTTTAACTGGAACAAAAACATATATTTTAAGAACATGTTTTGAAAATTTACACCTGAGACGTTTTGGAAAACTCATCAAGAATCAAAATTCAATGTAACTTTTTCTACAATATATGGCCTCGAAAGTGTAAGCATTATCTGTAGTTATTGCGAATAACATGCTAAACGGAAAATAAACTTGATAACAGCTACATTTCTTGCCAATCAATCTAAAAATCAGTACAAAAATAGTTTTATCTTCAAAAATATTGCCATTGTCTAATTCGATTATCGTTATTATTGTGATACAAAAGATAGTTGGGTATAAACATCTAAAAAAATATCTGTTAATAGAAAATTTTTACGGTATTTGATTGATTTCAGCAAACTTACAACTACGTCATTTTTCGAAACAAAGGAAAAGTTGCATTTTATGTTTTATTTTTAGATTATGTTTCTACAATGTCATCTATTTTTTTAACTATGTTGACAATTAAGCATACGTTCCACCTGTTTTTAGGGTTTCGTACCTCCAAAGGAAAAAACGGATCACTTATAGGATCACTTCGTTAACAGTCCGTCCGTCTGTCAAGATTCTTTTCTTAGGAATACGTGGAGGTATCAAGTTGAAATAGATATCATGAACTCAGGTCTGCAATCTCTTAAAGCAGTGAAAAAATCAAGCATCTAAATCGACGCAATCAAAAGATACGGCCGTTTATGTTCCATTTATATCGCATATATTGACATTCGCAAAGGGAATCAAAATCTGTAGGTTAGTTAGGATACTTCCCGTTGACCTAGAATCATAAAATTTGGCAAGAAGTAATGTCATGTAACAAGTACATAATACATACATATAGTACATAATACAAGTAAAAAAATACAAAAACCGTAAATATGTGGTTAGTATCACAAAAAAATTATACTTGATGATTTTGTACATAACCATCGTTGCACGAGTCCGACTCGCACTTGACTGGTTTTTTTATAATGGACGATAATGTAATGGTAATTTCGCCTACGCTAACGGTATACTTTGTCCACGTGTGTGTTGAGGCACCAGTGAGAGAAGATTCGTGAGAATGAAAAGGCAGGTCAGTTAGCCCATCATGATACCTTTTCATTTAGAATTCAGCGCGATAATTTCCAGGGGGACCACGGAGAGGTTGACCTGATAGAGTACATGCTAGCAATGGGACCGGTAGTCCACATTACTAACAACTCCTCCGCTCTTCTCCGCTCCGCCTGTTAATTAGCAGGTATTATTACCTTTGGACGCATGCAGTACCAAGAATATTTTGTAGACGTTGCTGACTCTGAAGAAAAGTTTGGCTCCTCCTGTACATGTATATAATTTTCCCGAAAACCTCAATGCGTAGCTCGTTGAACCAAAGATTTCATGGAAGCAAAATCTTCTAAAATAATTCAATATGCAACCATGGGCATGTATTACTTTTCAACAGCGATAATTGTGTACAACATGCAGAGAAAGACAAAATTTTTTCTTCAGAGTAGATTTGTTTAAACGTGCTATCCTTATTGATCCTGACTGACAAAAGACAAGTCTGAAGCTGTTCTCTAACGCAAAGGTGGCAGATGTGCATCTACTATAATAAGGGTGACCTTTGAGTCAATCAAATTGGGATCAAATCGAATTAACATTGAATTGACATCAAATGTTAGGTAGGGTGACGTAGACAGAGAATGCCGTAAGTATTATTCTTAATCTACCCTGGCTGATTTTGACACGACGTGATCTTCATTTGATCCCAATTGGATTGTGTCAGACAGTCTGCAGATTATAACTTTGATTAATTTATAATTGTAGTAAGTCCCTTCGTATTTTGTTATTGTGCCTAAAATATTCTATGTTGGCGTAATAACATTCAAACTGTCAAATTTTAAGTACAATCTTTTGACTTTTGATGTCTCGGAATTATAATTTTAAAAGTTGATAGCGTAACACTAATCACCCAAGAAGATATGCCACGGAAACTTTGAAATATAGAATCAAATTCCTGAACTTATAACAAATAAAAAGTTTCACCATATTCCTTTTTGGATTCATTAAAAATTAAACTGTTATCATGCATTGAACAAAACATTTAGTGTGCGTGACATGCTCGAGTTTGGTTTATTATTCAAACAGTTTGCGTCAATCTGTATTGTCTTTACCCTCATCCTAGGTTTGAAACGAATGCGATTTAGTGCGACTTTGGACACGCATTTTACACTGGCATGTAACCAAGTCGCAACAAATATTAACTAAAAAATATCTTAATAGTATTTTATCTTTTTCTTTCGGCTAAAAATCAGCTAAATCCGAGAACGCTTTGGATATCTATATATAGTCAGAAACAGACTTTTAAGGGAATAGAGTTAATTGCGCGTTCGCTTGTGATAAATGACAGTCATAATATCCAACCAGAGCAGGTAACGGGAAAACACGATCACCCCAAGAGCCACATGGAAGCGTAGGTTGAAAAAGAAACTGCATCGACTTGTTCTTGCTGGAATGACCTAAAAGTCCCGAAACTCACCCACGAATGTCAAAATGGAAGTCCTTTTTACGAGTCCTATGCTCCTGATGGGAAATGTCAGGAAGATATCATTACTAACTCACTTTGTCTAGTTGGTTTATTTATTAACATTTGCATAAATCCATGATAAAGCACGTAGTCACCTAAGAGTATTAATGTGGTCTGTCTTCTTTCTTTGTTATTATGGCTTTCACACAAAAGGGAATAGAAGTATCTTTTTATGTATTTGTCTGTTATTTTATTAGTGAATGTTTATCTGTTTCTTGTTATTTATATGCTGAATCAGTACATATTGATTATCTATCTATCTTCTATTTATACTTAGCGTCGATTATAGGTGAATATGCCATTGCCAACCATTGTTCTCGACGAAATCAAGTCAAATGTATGTAGATAACTAAAATAACCTTTTTCTATGGAAAACTCTGGGCGGACTGTTTGAATAGCTATCGGGATAGTTTCTTAAATACATTTAAAGATGTGAATTTTTCGTTTGCTGCAAAATACTACGGGCTTTTGATTTATAATCCTACCTATATATAAATTGACTAATGCAAAGGTCAATCAGTGACGTCACCCTGCGTCAATGACGTGTCAGGACCAGACGGGGTTTGCGTGCTACGAGAACACGTAAAAATGCTATAACAATTGGTCCCGAAACAGGCGATTTCGTGTGATTAAGTAATCGTATTGAAAATGTCGCATGACGTAATGTCTCACATACGCCCACTTTACGTTTGAAAGGGTTACAATAGACGTTCCCAATCGATCAAGTGAGAAATATTGTTTCAATTTAATTTAGTAACCTCATTGCGTAGTTGGTTAATGAACATTCGAGGTCCTTTGTTCTTGAGAAAATAACTAGCTTTCTTGGAATATGAAGCAAAATGTATTATTTGTAAGGACTACTAATTTACATTTTACTATAAATTTTTATAACATTAGGAATTATATAGGAAAAGTCGATGATGCGGCCACCTAGTTGCTGTAAAATTGTGAATACTACCACATAGAAGCTATAGACAGCAGATTTGACGAAATTGAAAACGAAAACGAAGTCATCAAACAGCAAGCAATTTTCATATAAATTTTAATAAGTTGGTAGTTACCTTTCCCAACAATGTCCAACGTCAATTTAATTAATTTCTTCTCTGTCACTAGTGTGTCTCATTATTTCTATATTTGCTTCTTACGTAAAAATTTGGTAGTGCATATTGAATTCTTGCTGTTTTAACACAGGAATAGTAGTGCCTATTTTCTCTGCCTGGTAGGACCTGGTAGGTCCAACTTATTATTTATGTTTGTTAACTTAAATAAAGGAATTTAATTATGATCCCAATAATACAAACAAACAAATCTATTTATTTAAATATACATATATATCTGATTAATATTCTATATCAAAAACCATTCCAACAGTTGACATGAAGATTATGGATTAAGGATGTGTTGGATCTAAGGCGAATAACGGTTTATCTTCCTTATAATATAAAATCCATAAATGCTATTATACGAATAATTCCAAGAAAGCAAGTATTGTGACATCAGTGCGGGTATAAAGAATAAAATGTGCTTACAAATGTAATCCAAGATTTAACTATAAAGCCATTTTGTTGGATTCTTCCGTAATGGTGAACATATAGCGAGTGCTGTGTTTGCTTTCTTGACAAGGCCTATTAACAAATATAACATGACGGGGAACAAGTCTATAGTAATTTAAATTGTTTACTACATTTTCAATACACTTGCCTATTATATTTTTCAGCTGTGTCAATTAATATAAAACTTGTTTCTTACATTAGCTGTGGCCTATTTTTAAGCGACTTCACAAAAGTAGAAGGTTCTGTTCTGTGTTCTCACCTGTATTTTTTTTTTGTATATTATCCTATATCTTCGCCAAATTTGGGCTGATTTTGATGTTTCTTTTTGCAATTGATTGAGTTTACGTGCATGATGTTCGTGTTGGTGGCTCGATATTGATTTAGTCAAGATTGAAGTCTTTTTTATCCATAGAATTGTAGAACTTATTAGCGTCATTTATCTTGCATGCTACATTAATGTTAGAAGCTTTCACGGAATTACTAACAACAACTGTACAAACAGACGTTGCACGGATGCATAGAAAATTATAATTAAAAAAAAATGTTTTTGATGTAGTAAAAACATCTAATCGCCTGTCTCCCATTAGAGTAGGCAGAAACAATGAAACGCCAAATGCTTCGATTCCAACAAACCTGCTTCGCTTCTTCCACAATCATCAATCTTTTCATACACGCTCGCCGGTTACGGGTACTTTTAATTTGGCCCTTCTTCAGCACGTCGCCTATTCGGTCGACATACGTCCGTCTAGGGCGGCCCCTACCGACATCTCCATTCATTCTTGCTCGATAAATCTCTTTGTAATTCTTTTTTCATCCATCCTCTCCAAATGACCAAACCCACGCAACATTCCCTTTTCGATTTTTGTCACTACAACGTCTTTCAGTCCACACTTTATCTACTCTAATCATACTGTTTCTTACTCCACTAATTTAAATGCTCTAGCATAGCCAAAACATAGATCTCCAGTATCACTGGATATACATAAATTGCAACAAACGTAACCTTAACAGTTTGCTATCTTGAAAAGAACTAACCTTCGTAGAAACGTAGTTCTAATTGTTATATTGTGTTAATTAA